ATTAAATGCCGTAATTTATCTCTGGCTCGGAGTGTGCTTTGGTATGGAACGAGGGGGGTCAGAACAGAAACATATTAGTTCTTCTTACAAGCTGCTTCATATCTCCCATTTATAGGAGTTGCTAGAAGGGACGGGGGTGGCTCAGTGGCTAAGACTCTTGAGCTTGTCGATCAGAAAGGTCGACAGTTTGGCGGTTCGAATCCCTAGCGCCATGTAACGGAGTGAGCTCCCGTGACTTGTCCCAGCTTCTGCCAACCAAGCAGTTCGAAAACACGTTAAAAAAAATGCAAGTAGAAAAATGGGAACCACCTTTGGTGGGAAGGGAACAGCGTTCCGTGCGCCTTTGGTGTTGAGCCACATGACCACGGAGACGTCTTCGGACAGCGCTGGCTCTTCGGCTTTGAAACGGAGATGGGCACCGCCCCCTAGAGTCGGGAACGACTAGCGCAGATGTGGAAAGGGAACCTTTACCTATGCTCTATAGCAATCAGCCCAGTTACTACTTCAAAGGTTGAGTTCTTGTGTTCCAGACATAGATTGTTCAATAAGTTTCCTGTCTTCTGTTGAGCCTTTGTAAAATGGTAGCAGTAGCTCCTTCATAGACACCGTATCAGCTGGAATCCCGAGGCTTATGAGCAGTCAATTGCAGAGGCAAATCAATAGGGTCACATTGCATATACACAGGACGAGTGAATAAAAGAATGAATATTGATATTCGTCTCCTGCTATTAAAATACAGATCTACCAGATAAGCAGAATCTTTCTTGATCTATTGGCTGCGGTGTTAAGGTCAAGGTGGAGCCAAAACAGCCCTCGGCTGTGCGATTATTTTAAAAATATAAACAATGTGAGGGGGATGTGATTTTGTTTACCGGCATGGCCATTGCTGAGAAATTCATGGAGGGGAACATCTGGAAGATCTTCAGGTTGGAGCAGAAGGGGATCTGAAATAATCCGAATAGAGCTGGAAGGGACCTTGGAGGTCTTCTAGTCCAACCCCTCCCCTCGAGCGGGAGACTCTATACCATTTGAGGCAAGTGCCTGTCCCGTCTCTTCTTGAAAGCCTCCAGTGATGAAGCTCCCACAACTTCCGAAGGCAACTTCTGTTCCACTGGCGGGTTGCTTTTACAGTTGGAAAAGATTTTTAAAAAGACGACTGAATGAAACAAAAAAAAAAAATAGGCTTTTTATTTCTATTTTAAACGTGCTTTTGTTCCCTACAAGAACATCCTGAATTACTGAATTGGAGATGCTGAACTGCATTGTTTGGCAAATTGATTAATACGTCTGACATCTACCCAGCGCTCTGAAGGGATGCGAGATCCTTGAGATATTGAATGTGACAAAACATGAAAATTATCCATGGGGAAGTACGCAGTGATGGAAAGGTTACTGGTGCTTCCCCTTGTTTATAGCACGGGGGACTGCCAGAGACAGCAGAACTGGGGATTTGAAAGCTTAATATGCCAGCCGAAAGACTTATCAACATTTTACTCTTTTGTAATTATTAGAGAAAATACGACCACAGCACAAAGGGAAAAAACGAGTGACGCGGAAATAAAAGGTAATAAATGATATGGAAGATGAATGGGAAATTAATACAGCTGTTAGAGAGAAAGCCCTATTCCTTTTCAAATATACTTCTCTTCTCATTTAGGTAAACTATGTTTTCTACAGCCAAACTAGGCTGCATCAACAGAGGGATAGAATCAAGATCCCATGAAGTGTTAATACCGCTTTACAAAGCCTTGGGAAGGCCACACTTGGAATACTGCATCCAGTTTTGGTCACCACAATGTAAAAAGGATGTGGATACTCTAGAAAGAGTGCAGAGAAGAGCAAGAAAGATGATTAGGGGACAGGAGGCTAAAACATAAGAAGAACGGTTGCAGGAACTGGGTATGTCTAGTTTAATGAAAAGAAGGACCAGGGGAGACATGATAGCAGTCTTCCAGTATTTGAGGGACTACCACAAAGAATAGGGAAGCCGCTATGGATGGATAGATGGCTGGATGAAGACTAATTATGTAATTTTATTCTATTTTTACCATGGACGTTTTTTTTTTTCTTCTTCTTATCGAATCTTCAAGAGCCTTGGAACTGCACTGAATACTAAATCTAAATAAATTAGACTTCTAGTAAGAACTTCCATTATTGTCTTTTAGTAACATTTTCTGGGGAATCCTAGGCAATTGGGAAGGGTACAGTCAATATTAATGATGAAAATCCAAATATTTGGAAGAATTTGTTTGGAAGTATATTTATTTTATTTTATTTGCAAACGATCCTGGAGCATGCAAACACTGATACAATGGTTTTAGTTATGTGGATCAAGATCTTACGCCATCATTTGGTCTGAAATAGTCTAGGGTCTCCTGGTTGAGCACAGGGGTTGGACTAGAAGACCTCCAAGGTCCCTTCTGTAGGCTGGATTTTTTTCCCATCCAAGGGCCAGGAAGCATGGCCATTCCATGTTTCCCTGTAATTTTAACCCTTCGTTTCATTGACTTCTTTCTCTCTTTCTGTCCTCTTAAATCAATTTCTTTTTTTTTTTTTGCTCCTATTTCGAGAAACATTTTCATCTCCCTTACAAATTGTAGAAATCACACAGCTAGCAGCAGTTAAGAGTTATTGTATAGGAGCACAAATAGCTGAAGACGGATCTTGATGTCCCAAATGATCAAGCAACTATATAATGCTGACAGGCTTTCGCAAGGACAGCAAAAATTCTCAAAACCAGCTGCTTAGATTTCAGCAAGTTCACCCCTTTATCTCCTTCCCATGATCTCTCCCTCTCTCTCTCTCTCTCTCTCTCTCCCCTCCACCCACAATTTCAAGAACTAAACAGATTTTCAAAAAAGAAAAAGTGGAGAAAGGAAAAAGCAGGAAACAAAATTGCTGAATTGCGTGTTGCATTTAATATTCAGTAAACACCTTATAGTGTTTCTCAACCTTGGAGATTTGAAGTCCTGTGGACTTCAACTCCCAGAATCCCCCAGCCAGCACAGCTGTGCTGGCTGGGGGATTCTGG